TCCTGACTAGCCTCTTCAACCGGGTATTGGTGGGAGGACATCTGACGGAAGACATGTGTAGGGGGGTTATCACCCTCCTATATAAGAAGGGCGACAAAAGAAACATCCGCAATTGGAGACCAATCTCCCTGCTGAATGTCGCTTATAAGATATTGGCAAAGGCCATAGCAAGAAGATTGGCTCCTCATCTTCCGGATCTAGTTAAGGCGGACCAAGGAGCCTTCGTCAAAGGCAGGTCAATTGCAGAGAATATGTTGGTTGCGATGGGTGCATTGGAAGTAATCAGCAGGGAACAGCGGCAGATGGTGGTGGCGATGTTGGACTTGGAAAAAGCGTATGACCGGGTGAACTGGTCATTCGTGCTGGCGACGCTGGAACACATGAACTTTGGCACACCTTTCCGCGGATGGGTTGCAGTTATGTATCAGAGCTCGACTGCATCAGTGCTGGTCAATGGCAAAAGATCTCAAGTCTTTAGCCTCTCACGCTCGCTGAGGCAGGGGTGTCCGCTGGCGCCGCTTCTCTTTGTATTACAGATTGAGGTGGTACTCAACACTCTTCAAGCAACTCTGGCCATTCGAGGTCTGCAGTTAAGTGGAAGCTCCGAAGTACTTACAGGGGCGATAGCTGACGATCTCCTACTCATCATGGAAGCTACCCCAGACTCGATGGACCCTGCCAAATCGATCTTGGACCGGTATGCCACACTCTCGGAAGCCCAGATTAACTGGGACAAATCCATTTTCTTCCTCCCACAGAAGTATGAACTGGAGGATGACTGGTCCATGAAAATTGTACCAGTGGGTGAGTCAGAGCGCTATTTAGGAGTACAGGTCCCGCTATCGAATAGTGGGCCCTCCCAAGGCACCATTTTGGCAGCTGGTGTTGAGTCCAGGATTCGCACTTGCCGTTCCTCCTCTGGTCTGTCACTGGTGGGAAGAGCAACAGTGATCTCAGCATCTGTCCTTTCAATCATTTGGCACGTTGCAGCGGTTATCCTTATCTCTAGGCAAACCCTGCGAAGGATAAGGAATCTGTCAGCTCACTACTTATGGAAACCTGCGGGCGAGGAAGAGGACAAATTTATCTCCAAGGTAGCTTGGGACAAGGTAACCCAACAGAAGGAGGAAGGGGGTCTAAGTATTGTAGACCCTGGAAGGCAAAACGTGGCCTTGCTGGGTAAATGGATGCAAAAGGTGGCCACGCAGGCAGAATCAAGGAATTGGCTGGAGATTGTGGTGTACATTCTCCAGGAGGAGTTCCACCTTAAGCGTGCCTCAGATGTGTGGATCTGTCTCCAGAACCCCGCCATGCTGAAGTGCAGACCCAAATCGGCAATTTGACTGGCATGGTGGATCGCATGGAAAAAGCTACGGCCCCCGTCTCTCCGAAATCCAGAATCAAGAGATGAAATACTGCGTCAACCACTCTTTGATAACCCGGCGATCAAGCAACCGCAGGGCTCAGTCTTCTCAGCAGCTGCTCAAGGAGGAAACTTCGGAAAGAAATGGATTGAGAGAGGAATCTCTGTTATCGCTGACCTCTGGTCTGAGCCTACTCTTGACTGGAAGACAGAGGAGGAGATACAGAAGTCTTTGGGACGCTTACATAGGGTGGAGGACCGCCTCCATCCCGGAAGCATGGAAAGAAAAGCTCCTAACAGGCCCCAAACTGGAAACCGGAGTCTGGTACAAAAAAGAGAAAAGCTCAGAGGAGCCAAGGGAAGTCTTCAGGATAGAATCTGTGCACTCGTCCGGATCGGCCGAGGCCTCCAGATGGGCAGTGGAAGCGGGGTGTGGGAAAGAACAGAGGGTAACCCGCTGTTCAGATTTTCACATTGATGGTAACCCAGTTTTGACATCCGTAAGAGTGCTCTCAAGGACGGAGGGCTCTGACAGGTCATCTTTGGTATTGGTACAAGGGGGCACAGGCATCCAGGATCTGAGACTGGACCCAGCTGAATGCGTATGGAGTCTTCCTGCAATGACCAAAAAGAACCTATTACAGTACAACACTAAAGTGGGAAGGAAAGTCCAAAGACCTGCAGAACCCTTCATTATAGAGATGAGTCAGAGAGCAACAAGAATCCTACAACCGGGGGATCCACTACTTCCTTCTGCAATGAAGGTGGTTTGGTCTCAACTCACTCTTCTCCCAAGTCTCAAGTTGTCGGGGCTTCTATGGTTAATCTCGCATTCGGCAGTCCCTACAGCCAACTGGCTCACGGAAAAAGGTATGGACATTTGCCCTCAGTGTAAGCGGTGTGGTAATCGGCGAGAAGAGTCACTCCGACACTTGATTTGGGAATGCCCTGCATCACATCGAATCTGGAAGTGGTGGACTAACCATTGGGAACGGCTTGGCTCGGCCCTTGACTAGAACCAGGACTGGATTCTCACAGGAAAGCTTCCTCCCCTATTCTTCAAGGGGAAGGGATGGGGGTACATGGAACAGGCGATTCGCTCTGCACTGATGTGGGTCATCTGGCAAGACCGAAATAGCATTGTCTTCAGAGGGGAATGGACTGCAGATCAGGGGATCAAGGCAAAGATCAAAGCTCTCATCCGATCCATGATCATGGCGGATTGGGTTCGGAAGGCGGACAGGGGAAAATCACGGAAAGGAAGGGATTGGTTCCTATTTACCTGGGCGAGAGGCAACAAATTGGCAGCAGTCACAACGGAAGGGAAGCTGGTCATCTCCAATTGGCTCTGTGACACGAAAAGTTAGGCTACCTGGTGCTTATTAATTGATAGTTTAGCGGGCACTTCGTAGGCAGGCCTGGCTCCTCGGCCTTGGTTAGGTCCGCGGGAGGACCGTTGCTTAATCTTCAAGGGCAAGGAGGAGAATTTCTTAGCAGCTGAGTCGTCTTGGACTCGGAGAGTCGTATAGGCTCTGTGCATTGTACTAGTGTTCAGGTGTGGTGTAGGTAGGTTTCCTTTTGCGAGTTGCGTAGAGGTCTGTCTTCGAGAATTATTCTTAATTTGGTAGTTTTGGTTTTTCTCGTCCCTGTTCCTCCCCTCCTCCCCTCCTCTTTTCTTCCCCTTCTCTTACTCATTGGGTTAGGTAGCACTGTGCCATAAGACGGGGCCTGGCCTACCCTCAGTTTGAAGGTATTGAGTTAGATAATGAGCCAAAATGAGTTCTTGCCAATGATAGACTAGCGGTCTATGGGGAATTCTTAACTTGTGACATATGCAAGCTAAACCGGCTGATGCTGCCGGCATAACTCCGGGTTGAATTGTGAGGTCCCCGGCCTCGTATCTTCATTTTTCAAATAAATGTGTTCTTTCCTGGAAAAACAAAAACAAAAACAGTGGTGTGGAGAGGCCCTAAGTGTGCAGCAGGTGGTTTGGGGCTCGAGCCCACAACCTCCTGAATGCCACTTGCGTGCCTCCCCACACAACTGTAGAAATGTGAAAAAAAAAAAAAAAAAAAAAAAATGTTGCGGGTGCATCTGGCCATTTTCTAGCGGGAAGTTCATTCTCATTTTGCAGATTTGGAGAGTGGTGTGTAGATGCCCATTTGTACAAAGCTGGCCAATAACGTGGAGCCTTCGAGGACAGCAGCAGACCAGCACCGTCTCCGGCCAGTTCGGGCCTCGCGGCACCACTAATATATGGCGAGTGTATACTTCCATTTTATAGGGCTAGATCCATTCTCAGTTTAGAACATCTGGTGAGTCCGGTGGCGAGGCCGCTCAAATGCGTTGTCAGGCCTACTGCTATAATAATACCAGGATAATGGGGCTCGCTGCACTACTCTTGACATGCACAAAAGACAAAAATCATGGCCACGTATCTTTCCATATTCTAGCAGAAGATTCACTCTCGTTTTGCACATTTTCCGAGAGTGGTGCAGCGACGCCCAATAACATGTGTGTGTAATACATGTTATAATACATAATGTGTGAGTAATACATGATATAATACATATGGGCCGTCCTGTCCAGATTTGACAGGTAGCCTTTGAAAATAAAAATAAAAAAATGTTATACATATGTACGCACATATACATAAATATAGATAGATAGATACATAGGGCCTCTCTCCGGTGCTCACCAAACGCACAAAAGACAAAAATGACGGCGGTGTATGGACCCATGTTCTGGCGGAAGATTCATTCTCATTTTGCACGTTTGGTGAGTAGTGGAGCGAGGCCCGTAACCTTTAGCAAAGGCTGTTCGATGTCGAGGTTTGCCTACTCGTCCTCGTCAAATGGGGCTTTTTTTTTTTTTTTTTCCCTCCTGAGAGTCCCCGTCAATTTGGATCTTGGCAGGAGGGGCTACGACCTTGGCCCAGGTCCCATTAGCAACGAGGATCGGATCGAATGCCTGAATCTGGATGTGTTTTATGCAGAGATGCAGAAAAGCAGTTCAATCCCGATTTCTTGCACCTCTCGACAACCACGTCCAGATTCAGGCATTCGATCCTATCCTCTCTGGTGGTGGGACCACGCCCCTTACGACCTTAGAATAGAACTGTGACGATTTGTTTTTTTTTTTTTTTTTAAAGACACCTGCCGGTACACCTGCCGGTTTGCTAGTGGTGCTGATAGGCTGGGCCCGTGAGTGAGTTCTATGTGTGGAACGAAGGGCCAGATCCCAGTAGCCCCTACCTATTGTTCATTTCTGACCGTTGATCTTCGTAATCGAGGGTCAAAAATGAATAATCCAGGGTAGTGGGATCTGACCCGAAGACATAGGGAGGAGGAATCTGACGACTACCCTTTTCACCGAATAAAACGCCCGGCAATTATATCTGAATCTGGACCAGATGCATCGATTTGCATTCGGGTGCAGACGGTAGGTGGGCCTACTTACTTCCGGGGACAATACGAAAGTTCAGCACTGTGACAGCGCCACCAGAGTTGTGACGAAGAGGTGCTGCGATCTACGCCAACAGCACTGTGACAGCGCCACCAGAGTTGTGACGAAGAGGTGCTGCGATCTTCGGGGCAGTTGGCGACGTCGCCGGTCTCCGGAAAGCCGAGAGTAGAAGCCGAGTGGGTGAAGCTAAGAACGAAGCAGCGGGAGGCGATTATCTCCCGCCATGGCGAATGCTGCCGTAGCCACTGTCGATACCGCCGTTGGGGAAGATGCGATGAATGTCGCTATGGCTGCCATGCCTACCGTGCTTGGTAAGTTGGGAACCACGTCGCTATCCCCCTGGGCTGTTCAGGTGTTCATCCCGGCTACAGCTCTGATCGGGATGGCGTTTGCCATTTTTCAATGGTACGTGGTTTCGAAGATTCCKGTTCGATCGGCCGCAGTTGGTGACGACTATTATTTGGCAGATGAGGGTGGGCTAGAGGATGCCAGCGTGATTGCGAAGGTGGCGGACATTCAGGAGGCSATCTCYCTTGGMGCAGTGTCGTTCTTGACGACGGAGTAYTGGTACTTGACCATCTTCATGACACTGTTTACTGGTATCATYTTCGTCTTCCTTGGATCCGTCGACGGCTTCGGGAGGGAGTGGAAACCTTGCGATGCCAAGGTTCCCACTGGGAAGATGTGTGCGCCAGGCACTGCCGTCGCATTCTTCAGCGCCGTGGCYTTCGCTCTSGGGGCACTGACTTCCACCCTGTCCGGCTTCCTGGGCATGAAGATCGCAACTTACGCGAATGCCAGGACGGCMCTGCAGGCGAGGAAGGGCATCGGCGCGGCCTTCGCGGCKGCCTTCAGATCYGGCGCKGTGATGGGCTTTCTGCTGACGGCAAACGGCCTGTTGGTGCTGTTCCTGGCGATTCTTGGGTTCAAAAAGTACTTCGGCGACGACTGGGTTGGACTGTACGAGTCGATCGCGGGATACGGGCTTGGCGGATCGTCCGTTGCTCTGTTTGGCCGTGTGGGAGGTGGCATTTACACGAAGGCTGCTGACGTCGGGGCTGATCTCGTCGGCAAAGTGGAGCGCAACATTCCCGAGGACGATCCTAGGAACCCTGCCGTGATTGCTGATAACGTGGGTGACAATGTGGGCGACATTGCAGGCATGGGCTCTGACTTGTTTGGGTCTTTTGCCGAATCCACGTGCGCGGCGTTGGTCATCTCCTCGTTGTCCTCCATGGGCACGGACTTGGATTTCACGGCGATGAGCTTTCCTCTGCTRATCACGGCTTCGGGCATCGTTGTCTGCCTCTTGACGACCCTCGTGGCCACCGACATTCAGGTCGTTGAAAACATCAAGGACATTGAGCCGAGTCTGAAGAGGCAGCTTCTCATCTCGTCGGTGCTGATGACGCCCACGATCTTTGCGGTGTCTTATCTGTGCCTTCCTGCGCAGTTCAGCATCATCGTTGCCGGGCACGAGGACAAGGTGGTGAAGAACTGGTACATGTTCTTCTGCGTGGCGGCCGGTTTGTGGGCGGGACTGATCATCGGGTACATCACGGAGTACTTCACCAGCCATCAGTACTCGCCAGTGCGCGACGTGGCGGATGCGTGCAGGACGGGAGCGGCAACCAACATCATCTTCGGTCTGGCTCTGGGTTACAAGTCTGTGATCATCCCTGTGTTTGCCATCGCCGGAGCCGTCTACCTCTCCTACAGCCTGGCGGCCATGTACGGCATTGCGTGCGCAGCACTTGGAATGCTCAGCACCCTGTCCACCTGCCTCGCTATCGACGCCTACGGGCCCATCAGCGACAATGCCGGTGGGATCGCCGAGATGGCAGAGATGGGCCCAGCTATCCGTGAGAAGACGGACGCGCTGGATTCGGCTGGGAACACGACTGCTGCTATCGGCAAGGGCTTCGCGATCGGGTCGGCTGCGCTGGTGTCGCTCGCTCTGTTTGGCGCCTATGTGAATCGCGCCGGCATCTCGGAGGTGAACGTGATCGCGCCGAAGGAGTTCGTGGGTCTGCTCGTAGGGGCCATGCTGCCGTACTGGTTCTCGGCGATGACGATGAAGAGTGTGGGCAAGGCTGCTCTGGCCATGGTGGAGGAGGTGAGGCGGCAGTTCAACACCATTGCGGGCCTGATGGAGGGAACGGTGAAGCCGGACTACAAGAARTGCGTGATGATCTCCACGGACGCGTCGCTCAGGGAGATGATCGCGCCWGGCTGYTTGGTGATGCTCACACCCATCATCGCAGGTTACCTGTTCGGCGTGTACACSCTAGCAGGTGTTCTTGCSGGCGCCCTGGTTTCCGGAGTGCAGATGGCCATCTCCGCCTCCAACACCGGCGGAGCGTGGGACAACGCMAAGAAGTTCATCGAGGCAGGCAACACGGMGCAAGCTCGCGCKCTCGGGCCGAAGGGCTCCKCRTGCCACATGGCAGCCGTCATCGGAGACACCGTGGGCGATCCCCTCAAGGACACGTCGGGCCCATCTCTCAACATCCTCATCAAGCTCATGGCAGTCGAGTCTCTTGTCTTCGCACCATTCTTTAAGGAGCATGGTGGCGTCCTTTTCGGTGGCAACAGTTAGAGCGGGGTGAATCACCCTGGAAATTTTGCCGTGTAGGAGCGTTTGTTTCCTTTTTAGCTAGGGCACGGAATTGGCCAGGCAATCGAAAGTTCCTCCTTGTCTCTCCCCCCCCCCCCCCCCCAAAAAAAAAAAAAAAAAAAAATCGCTAGCGATATGACGAAGCTTGGAAGTAGTTGGTCTTACGTTCGCAACAAGGGCGCCCCAAGATCGTCGGCGCGGGGAAAGGCGCGGTTTATATCTTCCTTTATCGAAAGGATATGAGATCAAGATCGTCGGCGAGGTGCAAGGCGCTGTTTATATCTTCCTTTATTGAGAGGATATGAGTTCAGACGGGAGGAAGTCTGTTAGCTAACGACTAGTTTCTGGCTGTTCATTCGGTGATTCCCTCTTGCGAGTTGTAGGTCTCTCCCTTCCGGAATACCGTTGCTGTTGAAATTTCGCTGTGCTCTCGTTGTTTTTCCTTAATTGGTTGCTTGACGTAAGAGGAAGCGTAGCTGCCCTCGTTGTTTTTGCTTAATTTGTTGTTTGACGTAAGAGGAAGAGGAAGAGTTGTCCTTACGGGAGGGTTGCATGGCGGAAAGTACGTGTAAACATATATATATATATATCGTCACAAACAGAACTGCCCGGTAAACCGTTGGCAGAGAGAGAGAAGAGGACAACAAACGAGGGGCTGTGACAAACTGTTTATATATATATATATATTGTCGTGTTATACAATGTCAGGTCGTTATGAGAGTCAGAGACGGATCCGGGACGCATGGGTGTATATTGCGGGCCCGGCTATTTGGCATAAACCTCTCATTTCATTTGTTAATGCTTTGGCTTTCGATGGAATTTTTTCTCTTTTCGGCGGCTGAATTGTTTTGTTTTTCTGCCGAATACTATTTGGAAATGTGATCTTTCGATGTCTCGTCCATTCATTTCGGACATCTTCAAAAAAAAAGAAAAAAAAAAAAGTATAGCACTGTTATTAAAAAAGAAAAAAGAAAAAAAAAGAAGTGTAGCACTGGTGAAGTGACATCTGGGGCGTGGTCCCACTAGCAAAGAGGATCCGATCGAACGCCTGAATCTGGACTTGTTTGTCGAGAGGTGCAGGAAATCGAGATTGAACTGCTTTTCTGGATCTCTGCATAAAACCCATCCAGATTCAGGCATTCTATCCGATCCTCTTTGCTCGTGGGACCTCGGCCCTGGGGCCTCAGACATCGGCGGTT